ACAAGACCACGAATCGGAGCTTATACTAGGCAAGTAAAGATGGAAGTGACTCTTTTGATGTCTATGGAGATTCTCAGTCATCCAGATCATAGTTGTCCCAAAGATGCTTTTTCACGAGGCAACTGGACTTTCTGGATTTTCTTTGAAGACGTTTCGCTTCTCATCCAAGAAGCTTCTTCAGCTCTGACTGGATGGCAGGGAATGGAAGGATTTGTACTCCTTGCAGACAGCTGGTCATTTGCCTTCTTTTAGAATCGTTGAGGCCACCTGGAGGTTCATGTGTCCTCAGGGTCACCTGACTAATGCAAATGGGTATGGAGCCCACTTCATAAATGCATGGCACAACATAGGAGAACAAACCCATCAGGACAAGATTCAACAGTCCATCTGCATCTAAAAGACAAAAGACACTCTTTCAAAGACAGCAAAGTCCACATTTTGGACAGAGAGGACCGCTGGTTTTGAAAGAGGGGTCAAAGAGGCCATCTATGTCAAAACTGAACAGCCCTCTCTCAACAGAGGGGGAGGGATCCGACATCATCTATCCACAACACAATCCTTTCAACATTTCCAAGAAGGCTCCACACCCATTTGGACCACTCAGGTGACCCTGAGGACACAGATAAACCTCCAAGTGGCCTCAACAACTCTCTATAAAAGAAGGCAAATAACCAACTGGCTGCAAGGAGTATAAATCCTTCCATTCCCCACCATCCAAGTTAGAGCTGAAGAAGCTTCTTGGATGACAAGCAAAACGTCTTCAAACGAAAAAAAAAGAAATCCAGTTGCCTCGTGAAAAAGCATCTTTGGGACAAGTGACTCTATTGCTCCTGGGGATACCAAGGGCACTGCTCCTTCTGTGAGAGCAGCTGTTCAGTCTTAACCTAACGTTTAAGACAACATGAAGGTTGGAGCAGCTACAAAATCCATTAGATCCTGATTCTTGGGCAAATATAATTATAGAAATGCCAGTCTCTTCCTTTGATCTCCTCTAGGATTGACCGGTTTGATCGCCTTGCAATCCAAGGGACTCGCAGGAGTCTTCTCCAGCACCATAGTTCAAAGGCCTCAATTCTTTGGCGCTCAGCCTTTCTTATGGTCCAACTTTCACAGCCATACATTGCAACTGGGAAAACCATGGCCTTGACTATACGCACTTTTGTTGGGAGGGTGATGTCTCTGCTTTTTAGTATGCTGTCTAGATTTGCCATAGCTTTCCTCCCCAGGAGCAAGCGTCTTTTAATTTCTTGGCTACAGTCCCCATCTACGGTGATCTTGGAGCCCAGGAAGATAAAATCTGTCACTACCTCCATTTCTTCCCCATCTATTTGCCAGGAATTGAGAGGGCCAGATGCCATGATCTTGGTTTTCTTAATGTTGAGTTTCAAGCCCACTTTTGCACTCTCCTTCTTCACCCGCATCAAGAGGCTCTTTAGTTCCTCTTCACTTTCTGCCATTAGAGTGGATGGATAACTATTACCTTAAAAATGTGATTCTATACCAAATGTGATATAATGTCGCATACCAACAAAGGTTTCGAAATGTTATCTACGATGCCAGGGAAGAGCTATGTGAATTATGAGCAAGATTGGCCGATCTGGATAGAAAATAGTTATGACCGAATGATAAGATTAAAACTAAGGATGAAATAAGAGAGATACTACTAGAGCAATTCTTAAATATACTTCGGGGGGTAGGTCATTCCAGAGGGCAGGAGCTCCCACAGAGAGGGCCTCCTTAGGGTGCCGTCGGCCAGTCAATGCCGGCTGGCGACCCCCAGGGGGAGAGCCTTCTCTGTGGCAGCTCCTGCCCTCTGGAATGACCTACCCCCTGACCTACGTACAACTGCGGACCTGCGCCTTTTTCGCCGAGCCCTGAAAACTCATCTATTTCGTGTGGCCGGCCTGGCGTAGTCTTAATTAGGTTTTAGTATAGTTTTTTATATGGGGTATTTTAGAGCAGGCCTTTATTTATTTAATTTGATTTTAGAATAGATATTTATTGTGATTTTTATTATCGCCTGTTCACTGCCCTGAGTCCCGTAAGGGAGATAGGGCGGTATACAAATCTAAATAAACATAAACAAACATAAACATAAACCAACGTACAGCTTAGGGGCAAGAACACCACCCAGAAATTGGTCAAAGGGCTGTAGAGTTAGCAACTACCTGGTTGCAAGAGACACTGCAACCATCGTAAATATGCGCCAGTTGCCAAGTGTCCGAATTCTGATCAAATGACCGTGGGGGATGCTGCAATGGTCATAAGTGCGAGGACCGATCATAAGTCACTTTTTCCAATGCTGTTGTAACTTTGAACAATCTCTAAACGAATAGTTGTAAGCGCCATCTGAAGTCCTTTTACAACTCTTTTCTCTCCAATGCATTTATAATTACACCGATTACCTAATGTGCAGTAACATCACTCTACATATCACATATTCAAATATTTCTCCATTGACCTTTCATTTTATGCAAAATTCCTCTTTCTGCACTCCAAGTATCCAGATGGCTTCTCCTGTGTCGATTCTTTTGTTTCATCTATTTTCTACCTGGCTACACCATGAATTTAGATTCTATCCCGTGTGGATTCTTTGGTGCATCATATATTGGCCACTCTGACAGAAGCTCTTTCCGCACTCCGGACACTGATACGGCTTCTCCCCTGTATGAATTCTTTTGTGGGTCATAAGGCTGCTATTCTGACTGAAGTTTTTCCCACAGTCCGTGCATTCAAAAGGTTTCTCCCCGGTGTGGGTCCTTTCGTGACAAGTAAGGGCACTGTTATGACTAAAGCTCTTTCCACACTCCAGACAACAATATGGCTTCTCCCCTGTGTGGATTCTTTTGTGGGTCATTAGGCTGCTGTTCTGACTGAAACTCTTTCCACAGTCCAAGCACTCAAAAGGTTTCTCCCCGGTGTGGGTCCTTTCGTGACGAGTAAGGGCGCTGTTGTGACTAAAGCTCTTCCCACACTCCAGACAGTGATATGGCTTCTCCCCTGTGTGGATTCTTTTGTGGGTCATCAGGCTACTATTCTGATTGAAGCTCTTGCCACAGTCCGTACATCTAAAGGGCTTTTCTCCTGTGTGGATCCTTTCGTGGTTCGCAAGGTGACCCGTCATAGTGAAGCCCTTTCCACACTCCATACATTTAAATGGTTTCTCCCCTGTGTGGATTCTTTCATGGATCCTAAGTTTTCCTCCATGACAGAAGCCCTTTCCACAGTCTACGCACTTGTAGGGCTTCTCCCCGGTGTGGGTTCTTTCGTGGCGAGAAAGCGCGCTGTTGTGGCTAAAACTCTTGCCGCAGTCCATGCACCTAAAGGGCTTCTCCCCCGTGTGGATTCTTTCATGATTGATCAGATGACCCCTCACCGTGAAGCCCTTTCCGCACTCAGCACACTTAAATGGCCTCTCCCCTGTGTGGATTCTTTCGTGGATCCTGAACTGAGCTCTCTTGCAGAAACTTTTTCCACAGTCCACACACACATATGGTTTCTGCCCACTGCGGATTCCTTCGTGCTTTGCAAGGTCACTGCTCTCACCAACGCCCTCTCGACACTCTTCGCTCGTGGTGACGTGGGCTTCTGCGCCTCCCGATGGGTCCGAAGTCGGTCTTCCGTTTATTTCGCAGTTTTTTTCCTGACCGTTTGATTCCTCTTGATTGGCAAACGTCTCTTTATCCGCTTCATTTTGGGCTGCTGGCAAGAGTGCCACACTCTCCTCCTCCTCATTTTCTGTCTCCTGTTCACAGGCTGCTTTAGAAAACAAAGAAAAAGGGGAAGAAAAAAAAATATTCTGAGCAGAAACAGAGGCTGGCATTAAGTTTACCACAAAAACAAGCTGTATGCACACGGAAGAAGGAAATATCCTGAAACTGTAAAATGTTATGTGGGATGTCTACGGAGGTCATAGTTGTCCCAAAGAAGCTTTTTCACGAGGCAACTGGACTTCGTTTTTTCTTTGAAGACGTTTTGCTTCTCATCCAAGAAGCTTCTTTAGCTCTGACTGGATGGTGGGGAATGGAAGGATTTATACTCCTTGCAGACAGCTGGTCATTTGCCTTCTTTTAGAGAGTCGTTGAGGCCACCTGGAGTTTTGTCTGTGTCCTCAGGGTCACCTGAGTAGTGCAAATGGGTGTGGAGCCTTCTAGGGTGCAAGGAAACAGCCAAGGGCAGGAAAACATTCTGCAGCCATTTGCACTAATCAGGTGACTCTGAGGACACAGGTAAACCCCCAAGTGGCCTCAACGACTCTCTAATAGAATGCAAATGACCAGCTGTCTGCAAGGAGCATAAATCCTTCCATTCCACCATCCAGTCAGAGCTAAAGAAGCTTCTTGGATGGGGGCGGGGCAGGGGGCGGAGTAGGGGTGGTGCCAGTTTTTCGGCACTCAGTCTCTAAAAGGTTCGCCATCACTGATCTAGGCGCACAATAGGCGCAACAGGTCTTGCCACATGAAACCACTACTTGGAGATCTATCCATGTGTACCATTCAAAATGATGCTCAATACCCATAAATCCTGACATGGCTTAGGACCAGTACAGTGTAAAGGCACCTGTCCAGCCCAGATGATTGGGGAACTCCTGCTCCACCTGTTGCACCTTGCAGGCGATCAGGGAACACCTGCAAGGTGCAACAAGTTGGGGGTTCAGGGGGCAGGCATCCTTTGGGGGACTCACCTGTTTTTAGAACAGCTTACTTTCTGCCCCACTGAGATACGGGTTGCTCCCATTCTCATGGCCTTCTTAAAACTTATCTAGAAGGGTTTTTTTTGCAATTGATAAGTTTGCAACCATCAGCCTCAGAATGTTTTACTAATGTGCATTGTGTTTTATGTTGCATTATCGACTCGGAATGTTGTGTATCATCTAGACTCCTAGTAGACTGAGGTGATGAATGTCACATAAAGAAGGAAACTAAGCAAGTAAGCAGAATGTCTTTTTCCAACTGGAAGACGTTCTCCAAATACTTCTGACTACAAAGGTATTCCACAAATGAACACAACACAGAACAAAGGAGGGGCCCTTACCCAGAGCTGTCACATTTTGGGAATTTTCCAGCATGACTTCCCTGTGCAAAGCTTTTTGGTTAGGATCCAGAATCTCCCATTCCTCCTCCACAAAATACACAGCCACCTCCTCAAAAGACACTGAACCCTGAAAGAGGAAAACAAAAATATTCTTTAAGAGAAGTCCCAGGAGGAAGGAATCTGAGAGGCAGATGTAAACACACACACACACACACACAGAGTGTATATATATGCATTTAGAGCACATTTGAGACAGATACACACACACATATATAATAATAATAATAATAATAATAATAATAATAATAATAATAATAATAATAATAATAATAATAATAATAATAATAATAAAGTTGGAAGGGACCTTGGAGGTCATCGAGTCCAACCCCCTGCTCTGGCAGGAAACCCTACACCATTTCGGAAAAATGGCTGTCCAGTCTCTTCTTAAAAACTTCCAGTGTTGGAGCATTCACTGCTTCTGGAGGCAGGTTGTTCCACTGGTTAATTGTTCTAACTGTCAGGAAGTTTCTCCTTAGTTCTAGGTTGTTTCTCTCCTTGATCAGTCTCCATCTGTTGCTTCTTGTCCTGCCTTCAGGCGCCTTGGAGAATAGCTTGACTCCCTCTTCTTTGGGGCAGCCCCTGAGATACTGGAACACTGCTATCATGTCCCCCCTTGTCCTTCTCTTCGTTAGACTAGACATACCCAATTCCAGCAACCGTTCCTTATATGTTTTAGCCTCCAGTCCTCTAATCATCTTTGAGCGCAATATCTGAGAGGCATATACTTACACATACACACACACATATATGCATTTAGAGTGCAACATTTGAGAGGCAGATATATACAAATACATATACACACACATACATATATGTGCATTTAAAGCTCAACATTTGAGAGGCAGATACACACACACACACATATGCATTTTAAGTGCAACATCTGAGAGGCAGATATATACATATACATACACTATATCTGCCTCTCAGATGTTGCGCTTTAAATGCATGTGTGTGTGTGTGTGTGTGTGTGTGTGTGTGTGTGTGTGTGTGTGTGTGTGTATGTATCTGTTGGGTGGAGCACCCGGTCTACCAAATATAAATCAGTCTGTTCTACGTTCGCTCCAATCTAGGAGCATGTTTTGCAGGCAGACATCACATACTGTGAATACTGTAAATTCAAAATGTTGTGGCTGACAAAGAGTTAGTGGGAGACTAGTATAGCTATTTCAAGATCTCTAGCTCTCATCAGCTAGTCATACCCCTCTGGGATTTGAACCTGGGCAGCTTGCATGTTAGGCAACTGTATTAACCTTTTGAGCCACAGGTTTCTCCTTACTCCTGTCAGCAGAAACCAGGGAGGATATATATCTTATCTATTGGGTGGAGCACCTGGTCTACCAAATATAAATCAGCCTGTTCTGCGTTTTCGCTCCAATCTAGGAGCATATATATATCTTGAATGTTTTTTTGATACACCTGTCGGCCCAAATATGGGAGGAAGAAATCTGATGAGAGCTAATCAGCTCGAAATAGCTATTCCAGTCCCCCTTTAACTCTTTGTTAGCAATCCAAATTTTTTTAGCGAATATATATATTTGACTGATACCATTCTGCCCGACCAATTTCATTTCTTGTTCATATCCTTCCCAAATCCCTTATGACAGAAGACATTTAACATTGTTTGAAGGATTTTAACACAGCAGATTTGCCCCATACAATACTAATTGCTAAGCTGTTCTGCTTATGAGCATGTTTAAAGCTATCGCTATGCTTATTCACTGATATAACTTGATTTGACAGAAAGCATGTGCATTAGAACAATAAACTATAAGTAAGAGTAAAAAAATGTTTCCTTGGGGGGTATTTTTTTGGCCATTTTATAGCTGACAAGAAACAAGAAAAGGAAAAAATCATTTCATTTCCATCAATAAACTACTGGTCTATTAAATTAAATCTTGACTGCATTAGCTTCCCATGCTAAAAAGCAACCTTTGTGTTAATTTCCATGGCAGGGATTTGGGACACCCCCCATCCCCCAAATTCTCTCCTGTTATGAAGAAACTTCCCCTACCTGAGATGGAGTCCCAGATGCTGTTTCTGCTTCATCGCAAATGGGAGATGTTTCAGGGATAACCTCCAATGCCTTTCCATTCCCTACGAGCAAAAAAAAGGTGTTGGAAATGGAATATTTTAAAGCTGTGTGAATGTCTTGTGGGGAGCTTTATCACCCTATCAAACCTCATTCCTGTCTGCTGACAAAATATCTGATTGTCAAAAAAGTTCATGAAGGAAAGAAGCGATGGCTCCATTGCTTCTACCGTGTAAGATACCTTCACTTAATTTCACTTATACTTAATTTCGTTGCGAGTTACACAATGACAATAAAGATATTCTATTCCAGGGGTAGGCAACCTCGTCTCTTTTATGACTCACGGACTTCAACTCCCAGAATTCCTGAGTATGCTGACTCAGGAATTCTGGGAGTTGAAGTCCGTGAGTCATAAAAGAGACGAGGTTGCCTACCCCTGTTCTATTCTATTCTTCACTTACATTGGGAGGTGACCTGAGTTGGATCCTCCTCAGACATCTTCCCAAAGAATGGTTCCTGAGAAGAAGTGGACACATCTTCCCTTTCTTTGATTTGTGTTGAGATCATCTCCGTCAATGCTTCTGGCAGCTGAAACACCGGACAGAAGGGGGGAAAAAAATGGAGGAGCTATGATGAAGACACACAGGGTAGATGGAATTCTTTTCATCTGCCCTCTAACCTTGAAACTTCCTCTCTCTATCCTTGGGGTGAAATTGGGCTTGGGTTTCCTCTTGTTCCTGTAGAACAGAGTTCCTTTTCCAGGTTGGCGGCCTGGAGGGAAGAGGGGACGGTTTTGTGAGAGGAGCAGGAGCGTGCGCACGCACAGTGCACGCGGACAAGCACCCGTTGCTTGCGAGAGTGGGGCCAAGAGCACTTGTGATGCTTGTACGAGTGAGGCTGAGTACCCCTGAGTCAGGCCCTGAGGGGCCACAATGCTCGTGCAAGTGGGACCCAAGCACCCACAACCCTCGCATGAGTCAGGCCTAGAGCACCTGCAAGTGCACAAGTGGGACTGTGCACCCACACACATACTCAAGTGTGCACCAGCCAGCCACTCACGCGGCCCGGTTGTGAATAGGCCACGTACCGGTAGTGGGCCACAGCTCACAGGTTGGGGACTCCTGCTGTAGAATAATAATGGAGTTCTAGCATTGGGAGGCATCTTGGAGGTCTTTTAGTCCACTCCTCAAACATTCCAGATAAACATGAAGAACAGTTGCAAGAATTGGGTAGGGCCAGTCTAGACAAAAGAAGGACTAGAGGTGATACAATAGTGGTATTCCAGCATTTGAAGGGTTGCCACAAAGAGGAGGGGGGTCAACTTATTTTCCAAAGCACAAGAAGGCAGGACAAGAAACAAGGGATGGAAACTAATCAAGGAACCAACCTAGAACTAAGGAGGAATTTCCTGACTGTGAGAACAATTAATCAGTGGAACGACTTGTCTCCAGAAGTTGTGGGTGCTTCATCCCTGGAAGTTTTTAAGAAGAGACTGGACAACCACTTGTCTGAAATGATATAGGTTCTCCTGCTTGAGCAGAGGGTTGGACTAGAAGACCTCCAAGGTCCCTTCCAGCTCTATTCTGATTGATTGAAATGGCTGCCCAGACCTTGACTTGGAAACCTCCAGTATAGAAGCACGCACCTCTCCAGGGGACAGGCTATCCCATATCTCTCAAAGGGATGAAATTCCTCCTTTATTTTGACCTTGTATCTCCTGTTGTAAAGATAGATATGAAGTATTCCTTGTCCCACAGAGAATCGATCCATACCCACCTGCCTTTGACAGCCCCTAAATTTTGGAAGGCTGTTGCCATGGTTCCCCAGCTCCTTCTCTTCTTCAGATGAAACATGTCCTGTTCTTTAGCTACTCTTTCTAGGATTTAAACTCTATCCCCTCAACCTTTGTTGTCCTTCTCTGCCCGTTTCCAGCTTCTCAACATTCTTCTTGCATTGTGTCAATCAAAGCTGGAGCCAGTGCAAGTATCCCAGGTATGATCTGACTACTACAGTATAAAGCAGAACAATAATTTCTGATGATCTCGGCATGTATCTTTATTGATCAGTCTAAGACTGCATTGGCTTTACTAGCAGCTGTAGCAAATTGCTGACTCCTACTTAATTTGTGAACTACCAGGACGCCAATATCTTTCTACCAAGTACTCGTGCTGGGCCAGGTATTTCCTGTTCCGTAGCTGTGCGTCTGTTTGTTTCCTACCTAAGTGATGGGAGGGAAAAGTCAAATATAATCTTCTCATAGAGTGGTAAGGACAGTTGAGAAGATTATAGGAAGCCCACTTCCTGTGATTCAGGACACACTGCTTATAAGCGCTATGAGCGCTTGAAGCATTGTTACAGACCTCTCACACCCACTTTACAGTCTGTTTTTGTTGCTTCCCCTCTGGGAAGAAGTTTTGAAGTATTTCTAGCAGGACTACCAGATTCTGTAACAGCTTTGTTACCTACGCCTTCCGTCTGGTAAACTCGCAGGATTCGTATTTCTCGCCATGTATATGTATACATCCGAACTAGACTTACCGGTATGTTGTTTCTCTGGGCCACATATGTATGTGTGTGTGTATGGGTATTTTTTTAATTTATTTTTTGTGATATGTTTATGCAGTGTATATTGGAGTTGGTTACCCTTTGAGAGCTGTATGCAATGAAACCTCATTTTAATGTATGCTGATTAGTGTACATTTAAAGTGACAATAAAGTTATTCTATTCTATTCTATTTTTATTTCTATTCTACTCTATATTCTATTCTATTCTATTCTATTCTTATTTCTATTCTATTCTATTCTTATTTCTATTCTATTCTATTTTTATTTATATTCTATTCTATTCTTATTATTTCTATTCTATTCTTATTCTTATTCCTATTCTATTCCTATTCCTATTCGATTCCTATTCTTATTTCTATTCTTATTTTTATTCTTATTTCTATTCTTATTTCTATTCTATTCTATTCTATTCTATTTTATTCTGTTCTGTTCTATATTATTCCTATTCCTATTCCTATTCTATTCTATTCTATTCTTATTTTTATTCCTAGTCTATTCCTATTCCTATTCGATTCCTATTCTTATTTCTATTTCTATTTCTATTTTTATTTTTATTCTTATTTCTATTCTATTCTATTCTATTCTATTCTATTCCTATTCTATTCTATTCCTATTATTTCTATTCTATTCTGATCTATTCTAATTTCTATTCGCATGAAGTAATAAAAAGTGAAGCACTTCATAAAACAAGGGAATGTCTTGTTCTTCCTCCATGCCAAGATAAAATCTCATACCTGCTTCTCTACTTGCCCCTCCTCTGTTGCTTGACTGAGGAGGAAGCCTTCGGCCAGGGCCACAGCCTGGGAACAAGTCTTCGCTCCACATTCCCTCACCCAGCTCTCCATCTCTGGGGGCAGGACAGCCAGAAACTCCTCCAAGACCACCTTGTCCACCATCTGAGCTTTGGTGCTGCTTTCCGGCTTCAGCCATTGATGGCAAAGCTGATGCAGTTGGCTGCAAGCCTCTCTAGGCCCCCTGGCCTCATGGTAGCAGAAATTCCTGAAGAACAAACGATGAACGTCAGAGCTGATGACTTCCTCATGCAGGATCTTCGGCCTGGTGCTTTCCCACAACAAACTACCGGATCCATCCTCAAAAGCAGCAGGGCCTTTGGTGGCTTCCATTCCTGCTGGACTCTCAACGTCCATTTTGTCTTTTCTACTCCAGTGTAGTTTCCAACAGGGCAAAGGACCTCCCGCCTCTACAAAGTTGCGTTCGCTTTTAGAGGCGAAATTGCACGAAGAGGCTGCGGATGAATCTCCTAAGGACACGGAGTCATTTATCTCCCAAAGCAAAGATCTGGTGCGTGAAGGAAGATAGTCTAAGAAAAAGAGACAAATAATTCAAAACCACACAGGATGACAGTCCCATCCAGATGATTAGTTGATTAGCCTACAGTCCCCTAATCAACAAAGATGATTAGGGGACTGGAGGCTAAAACATATAAGGAACGGTTGCTGGAATTGGGTATGTCTAGTTTAATGAAGAGAAGGACGAGGGGCGACATGATAGCAGTCTTCCAGTATCTCAGGGGTTGCCCCAAAGAAGAGGGAGTCAAGCTATTCTCCAAAGCGCCTGAAGGCAGGACAAGAAGCAATGGGTGGAAACTAATCAAGGAGAGAAGCAACCTAGAACTAAGGAGAAACTTCCTGACAGTTAGAGCAATTAACCAGTGGAACAACCTGCCTCCAGAAGCGGTGAATGATCCAACACTGGAAGTTTTTAAGAAGAGACTGGACAGCCATTTGTCCAAAATGGTATAGGGTTTCCTGCCTGAGCAGGGGGTTGGACTCGTGACCTCCAAGGTCCCTTCCAACTTTTTTATTATTATTATTATTATTATTATTATTATTATTATTATTATTATTATTATTATTATTATTATTATTATTATTATTATTATTATTATTATTATTATTATTTGCTTCAGCGCCATTTGATTATATAACAAATAGCTTTGCAGAACCTGTAGCTTTTTTTCCTCCTGGTATGGGAGACAATAAACATATGAAGAACTGTTGCAGGAATTGGGTCTGGCTAGTCTAGAGACTGAAAATCAGGCTTGTCAGATGCTATATTTTTTCTGACCTGCTCTATGGAGTAAAGAGTTGGTCTCTGACAGAAGGCCACCTGAAGAGACTAGAAGCATTTGAAATGTGGATTTACAGGCGGCTTTTATGTATAAGCTGGGTTGACAAGATCAGAAATGAAGAGGTGATAAGCCGCCTGGGAAAGCCAAGGGAAATCATCAAAACCATTAAAAAACGAAAATTAGAATATTTCGGACATGTGATGCGACACCCAGAAAAATACGGCATACTTCATTTTAATCCTCCAGGGAAAGATTGAAGGCAAACGAGGTCCAGGCAGAAGAAGAACATCGTGGCTTCAAAATCTAAGGGACTGGTTTGACAAAACTCAGCAGCACTTTCGTGCGGCTGCTGATAAAAACAGGATCGCCAACGTCCGATAACGGATATGGCACAACAACAACAAGAAGTCTAGAGAAAAGAAGGACTATGGGAAACATAATAGCAGTAAGGTAGTCCCCGACTTACAACGGTTCACTAGTGACCGTTCAAAGTTACAGCACTGAAAAAAGTGACGTATGACCATTTTTTTCAGTGCTGTTGTAACTTCGGTCACCAAATGAATTGTTGTAAGTTGAGGACCACTTGCATAATTAGGTCTGGAGCAATGGGTGCAGGGGGCTTGCAATATTGAGAGCTAACCCCCCACCCCACAACAATCCAGGCTTGGCCTCTCCCTTTAGGATCCCCATCAGGGAAACATGGTTCCCTTCAAACTTATGAAGGCTTTATACCATTCTATAAAGCCTTAGTAAGACCATATCTAGAATACTACACTATAAAAAAAGATGTTGAGACTCTAGAAAGAGTGCAGAGAAGAGCAACAAAGGGGATTAGGGGACCGGAGGCTAAAACATAGGAAGAACGGTTGCAGGAACTGGGCATGGCTAGTCTAGTGAAGAGAAGGACCAGGGGCAACATGACAGCAGTCTTCCAATATTTGAGGGGCTGTCACAGAGAGGAGTGGGTCAACCTATTCTCCAAATCATCCGAATGCCAGACAAGGAACAATGGATGGAAACTGATCAAGGAGATAAGCAACCTGGAATTAAGGAGAAACTTACTAACAGTGAGAACAATTAAACAATGGAACAGCTTGCCTCCAGAAGTTGTAGGCCCTTCTTCACTGGAGGTTGTTAAGAAAAGACTGGACAGCCATCTAACTGAAATGGTATAGGGCAGGGGTAGGCAACCTCGGCTCTTTTATGACTCGTGGACTTCAACTCCCAGAATTCCTGAGTCAGCTATGCTGACTCAGGAATTCTGGGAGTCGAAGTCCACGAGTCATAAAAGAGCCGAGGTTGCCTACCCCTGATATAGGGTCTCCTGCTTGAGCAGGGGGTTGGACTAGATGACCTACAAGGATCCCCAGCAGGGAAGCACCCTTCAAACAAACTTCAAACTTACTAAATTTGAACCCTTCAAGTTTAACCAAGCTTTATACCACTTTTTTTCAGTGCTGCTGTAACTTTGAATGGTCACTAAATGAACTGTTGTTAAGTCAAGGACTATCTGTATTGCAAGCTTTCAAGAAGAGATTGGACAACCATCTGTCTGGAATGATATAAGCCAGGGTCTCCCGCTTGAACAGAGGGTTGGACTAGATGACCTCCAAGGTCCCTTCCAACTAGGTTATTATGTACTCTCTCTCTCTCTCACACACACAGACACGCACACACACACACACTTGTTCCCTTCAGGTGGGAGGCGCAGACTGGACCCTCCCTGGATTTTATGCTCCATCAGCAGCATCCGAGATAAAGAAAAGGGCCATGTGGGGAACAGGGAGGTCGGGGTGGGGTTGGGGGGGCAGCTAGCAATTGTTAGGATTGTGGGAGGCGCTGTGTCTCGCCCGGGGATCTGCAGCCCCTTCCCCTTTCCCACGCAGGGCTTCTCCCCCCATTCCTATATTCTGCTGCTGGAGGGCAGAAGGGAGCCTTTTTTCCCCCCAGTCTTTCTCAAGCTCCTTTCCCAGATTTCCCGGAAAGGCACTTTAGTGCATTTGGGGTTTGGTTTCCACGAGGCTTTTCCGCGCGTGAAACTCACACTCGCGTCTCCGATCCTGGCAGAAACTCCCGCGCCTTGCCTGGCTCCAAGTAGCTCAGCAGAAGGCGAACGAGCCCTCCTTCCTAGAGAGGCAAGACGCTCTGGGCGATTTTTTATTCTTTTAACCTCTACCTCTTACCTAAGAAAAGATTCCCGGTTCGCAAAAGAGTGGCGGAGCCCGCCCACCCACCCAAGAAAACTCTCCAGGCGCATGCGCTGCTCATTTCTGAAGCTAGAGGCTACCAGGACTCTTAAGGGCAAACGGGGCGGGGTCGCCCTATGTTAAGGGGGCCTTACAGCCTTTTAGTTTTTACAGCTGCTGCTGCTGCTGGTCTGAAGGAGTTGTGGCTCCTTTTGTGGTTCTCAGGGTTGTTTCCAATTTTTTTCCCTTTACTGGAAGAAAGCAAACGCTTCCAACAGGGAATTTTAAATGTCAATCAATCAGAAGAGAGCTGGAAGGGACCTTGGAGGTCTTCTAGTCCAGCCCCCTGCCCAAGCAGGAGACCCTGTACCAGGGGTGGGGAACCTTGGCTCTTTTATGACTTGTGGACTTCAACTCCCAGAATTCCTGAGTCCATGCTGGCTCAGGAATTCTGGGAGTTGAAGTCCACGAGTCATAAAAGAGCCAAGGTTCCCCACTCCTGCCCTATATACCATTTCAGACAAGTGGCTATGGAATTCTGGGAGTTGAAGGAAAGGGAAGGATGAATCTCTTCCAGTAACTCCCCAGGAAAAGCTTTTCCAACTTTATCCCTTAGCCAAGGCTGCTGGCTCTGTACTGAGGGCTTATACACTAGGAACTGACTTTATCTAAAACAGTGTTTCTCAACCTTGACAATTTTAAGGCATGTGGACTTCAACTTCCAGAATTCCACAGCCAGCATTGCTGGCTGTGGAATTCTGGGAGTTGAAGTCCACATGCCTTAAGATTGTCAAGGTTGAGAAACACTGATCTAAAACCCAGTGGATGTTAACAGGGTCAACCATTGAAATCGGACAGTGGTGTTTCTGACCCCACAATATTCCATCTGTCTTCCCGGGGCAAATGCCTGGCTTATTATTCTAGCAAGGACAGGTTATCCTTTTCTCCCCACCCGCTTCCTAAAAATATAAGTACCTGTTTCTCTACCCCAGTGATATGCAGGTTCTGAGGTTCTCCAAATCTACAGTTTTATTTCTTTGTTACGTCATCGCTGCGCATCAGTTTCGTTCATTCCTTGGCCAAAGATCTCCAGTGAATCACCATTTTCCCCCCCTCAAAGTAGCAAGATGGGTGATTTCACTACTGTCCCTCCAAAACCTAAACATAAATACACACCTTACTTCCACTCTGAGGCCAAAAGAGCAAGCAGTTCATTACAGATAATCCTTAACGACAATTGAGTGCAAAACTCCTGATGCTAATCAAGGCAGTTGTTAAGCAAGTTTTGCTTCATTTAATGAGCTTTTTTTGGGCCAGTTAAGCAAATCGTGGCAGTTAAGTGAATCACGCGGTCATTAAGTGAATCTGGAACAACTTGCCTTCAGACGTTGTGGATGCTTCATTGGAGGTTTTTAAGAAGAGACTGGACAGCCACTTGTCTGAAATGGTATAGGGCAGGGGTAGGCAACCTTGGCTCTTTTATGACCCGTGGACTTCAACTCCCAGAATTCCTGAGCCAGCATGGCTCAGCTTGGAAACCTCTCCCTTTCTCCTCAGCATGGCTGGCTTAGGAATTCTGGGAGTTGAAGTCCATGAGTCATAAAAAGAGCCAATGTTGCCTACTCCTGACCTATACAATCTTCCTCCTCATGTCAGTCTCTTTAGCGGCAGTTATTCCACTTTCAAAATAACTTAGTTTGGCTTTTGATAGTTGTTTCTAACTTTATTTTACATTTCGTGGTTATTTCAAGATCAAAGCAACGCTGAGGAGTTGTACAGTTTGATTCAGGCACGTCTTTCAACCCCTTTCATTCCGGCTTACTTTCAAAACCATTTTTACTTCTTTCTTTTTTTCCAGGGAGAGCTGCAGGATGTAAGCAACGCTCTTGAAGATTTTGTTTAAGTCTGGCTGCTTTTCAGAATTATAAACTCCTACTCCCACTCCTCTCCCCCCCAGCCCTTGCAGCACAGCCAAACAGGATCGGGTCTGGAGAAGATCTGCACGATGGTACTGGCTCAAGCTGACTCCCACGCCCCATTTGCCAATCAATGCTTCCCTGCCCCCAAACCATGCAAAACACCTCCAAGGATTGGCTGAAGGCTAAACACTCTTCAGTGCCCAGATTTTTTTGAGGGGGAGGGAGGTGAATAGAAAAGGGGGACTTCGCAGAAGCCAGAGAGAAGTACAATCCAGAAATCTGATTGAGTTGTTCAATATTTCTGCAATCAATACTTTTTCTACACCTCTCTCTCTTTTTCTCTCCCACCCCCACCCCAAAAGGTGCTTTTTCAGGTGACAACTGGACTTTCTTGTTTTTCTTTGAAGACGATTTGCTTCTCCTCCAAGAAGCTTCTTCAGCTCTGACTGGATGGTGGGGAATGGAAGGATTTATACTCATTGCAGACAACTGGTCATTTGCCTTCTTTTAGAGAGTCGTTGAGGTCATCTGGAGGCTTAACTGTGTCCTCAGGGTCAGCTGAGTGGTGCAAAAGGGTTACAAGAAGGCTCCACATTTGCATTACTCAACTGACCCTGAGGACACAGGTAAACATCTAAGTGGCCTCAATGACTCTCTAAAAAGAATGCAAATGACCAGCTCTCTCTCTCTCTCTCTCTCTCTCTCTTTCTTTCTCTCTCTCTCTCTCTGATGAATTTTATCCCTGCTTTCAATTTCACAGCCCTCCTTATTGACCCCTTGCTTGTGTGACCCCTTCGATGCAAAGACTGTTTGCCATTCACACCCCAAACTCTTCTCAAAATACAAACATTTAAAGCTTCGCCCTTCTTGGTGGGGGGCGGTGGGTGTTTTGGCTTCCCAAACAAGGTTAGACATCTCCTCTTTTCACAGGGCTTCCCCTCAAAGCAGGCTTTGATATCAAGACTAGACCAAATTGATGACTCGGCTTTCACAATCAATGCATTTATACGGTTGGTCCCCCGCGTAGTGATTTCGGTAGGCGGGAAGGTTATCACTGACCACGAAGCTTTTCCCGCACTCCGCGCAGATGTAGGCTTGCTCCCCCGGGTGATCCCGTTGGTGCCTATCGAGGCTGCCCTTACGACTGTAGCTCCTTCCGCAGTTCATGCACTTGAAGGGCTTCTCCCCCGTGTGGGTCCTCTGATGTGTGGTCAAGATGGATTTCAGGCTGAAATATTTCCCGCATTCCAGGCATTGATAGGGTTTCTCCCCCGTGTGGGTCCTCTTGTGCCTCTTGAGGCTCCCGCTACGATTGAAGCGTATCCCGCACTCGGAACACTTGTACGGCTTCTCCCCTGTGTGGGTTCTCTGATGCGCGGTCAGAGTGCCACTGTCGCTGAAGCTCTTTCCGCATTCCGTACATCGATACGGCTTCTCCCCTGTGTGGGTCACGCGGTGCCGGTTGAAGTCTGATTTATATTTGCACATCTTCCCACACACGGGACACTTGATCCTCCACTTCCCTTGGCG